CCATGCGATGTTTCTGTAAACCTAAAACTGCTCTGAAAAATAAAGTCTACTATAAAAAAAATTGGGAAGAAAAGAGTTTATTAAAAGTTTTTAAAAAGTGACTTAGATTCTGCCCGTTCCTATAAAACCTCCCATAGCTCCCCATTGCACTTAACGTGGAAATCTAAACATCTCACCTTGGCTTACGAGGCCCTCCAGAACCTGGACCTTGCCTCCTGTCTGATGTCTTTGCCTCCCACTCCACTCCTTGTTCTCTAACTCCAGCCACGCCCAGCTTTCTTGCTTTTCCTGTTGTACCTAGCCATTTCCAGCCTCAGGGCCTTTGCACTTACTGTTCTTGCAGCCAGAAATCTCTTCCCCCATCTCTTTGCATGGCTGGTTCCCTCAGCCTTCATGTCTCAAAGAGACCCTCCCTGACCACCCAAATTAAAGTAGGGATGGTCCTCCTTGCCCACTAATGGGAAGTTTTGTGGTTATGGTGCTCTCTGTCATGGTCAAAGTCATCCCCTGAAACTCGTGGGTAGGCATATTTTTTATTTAAGGCCACAGAAGGTCACATTCTCCTGATGGTGGGGGAAAGATGTCAGTGTAGCCTGAGAAACCCCCATGTTTCAGGTTAGGAGTGACCACTGAGAGAGGACATCTCTGCTCTAAGAGCCATTTACATCACTGTCAAGACAGTAAAGGGACAGGTGGGAAGTGTGTGCCTTAAGGGCCCAGCAGCGACACTCAGGAGGGGGCAGGCATTCATGAGCAGGAGTGTCTGGTAGCTTCAGAAAAAGCCTTTCTGGAACCCTCCAGAACCCAGGCTGGTGCTGGCTGCTGGATTTCAGTCCTGCACCCTGTGTTCAACATTTCAGGATTTCTCAGGAGTCTTAGTTTCCATAAGAGTTCCTGGCATCCCCCAGATACCTATGGTGTGACAGCCCCCTCTGGGACCATCTTTCACAAGCTGCTGCCAAGCTGTGATTTCCATTCTTCATTTTTTTTCTGGAGCTTGATATCCAGGGAGGAAACAAGAATTTTGGTGGGACCAACTAGTGCAAGAGGAATCGGAGGAAATGAGCAAATGTGCTTTGGATGCAGACATATCTTCCGGATGCCTGGAAAGCAGAGTGTGCCCCCTCCCACCTGGGGTCCCAGGGAGGAAGGAAAGATTCCTGGGCAGTAGGGCCACCCACATCCCCCTTACCAGGGCTCGGCTGGACCAAAGGCCACAGACTGTGGTTCTGCCCCATTTCTTTTCTGGACCCCGTGGACTTGAGTGCCCTCCTGCCCGGTTGGCACCTCAGTCTCCTCCTCTGTGAGATGGGGCCCTAGCCCTGCACAGGCAACCTGTCTTACAGAAGCCAGCTTCACCCTGGATTATTTTCTTTATAGTCCTCCCTCATTCCTGTCTGAAGACACCTTTTCCATTTATTTGCTTTTTTAGGCTCATATCCCTAGAATGAGGGTGCAGAACTTGCTGGTTCTTTCCACCGCTGGATCCCCGATGTCCAGAACAATACCTGACATATAGTAGGCACTCAATAAATATTTCTTTTTTTTTTAATGGGCAGCTGGCTGGTCCAGGGAACCGAACCCTTGACCTTGGTGTTATAAGGCTGTGGCTCTAACCAAGTGAGTTAACTGGCCAGCCTCAATAAATATTTCTTAATGGACCAGATGAATGAATAGTCAGAACTAAAGAGCTTTATTGCTTCCACAGCAGATAACTTTTGAGGGTAATGTGAGCCAAATGGGGCACGTATCTCAGATTAATAGAGGGGCTGAGACCTAACTCTCCCGCTCAGGAGATGTGAGCGCTGCTTGAATATTGGATGGTATTTAGTAATTAGGTTCATTTTCGGCCTTTTTCTTTTTTAAAAAAAGATGACCGGTAAGGGTATCTTAACCCTTGGCTTGGTGTTGTCAGCACCACGCTCTCCCAAGTGAGCCACGGGCCAGCCCTGGCATTTTGTTTTTAAAGAGTGGTTATCTTTTAGCGATATATACTGAAATATTCACAGATGAAATGTCTGTAAACTCCCAGGAGTTCCTTGTGCTATTGGAATGAGGGAGTGGGTGGGAGAGAGACGACGCAGATTGGCCATGAGCTGGTAATCAATGAAGCTGAGTGATGGGAAATGGAGGTTGTTATACTATTCTGACTACTTTAGTATACATTTGAAATGTTTCAGAATACGAAATTGAAAATATTCCTCCACTTTTCTAGCTATGACCATTTGGGCAAGTCACTTAAGCTTTCTGTGCCTCGGTTCAATTATTTGTTAAGTGGGGATCACAATAGCTCCCTCCTGGGGGTGGTTGTGAGGATTAAAGGAGAGAAAGCGCTTAGCACAGAGCCAGGTACACCTGGGCCAGGTGGGAGCTCAGAGGAGTTAAAGAGGCAGCTGGCCAAGTGCGTCCTTCCCTGGGACACTCCCCACCCCCTTATCGTACTTGGAATGACACCCCTGGGATAGAATTGTGGTGTAAAAGCGCCAGCCTTCTCAGGTTGGGTCTTGTTTAAAGAGATATACTCCTGTCTCCTCCCTTACCCTCCTCCAGATTGTGAGAGATCATGCCAGCTTGTATTTCAAGAGTTGAGAAAAGCAAATCTGAGAAACGATGCCAGGAATCAAGACTAAATGAGTTCACAGATTGGGAGGCACCCGGCAAAGCTGATCTTGCTCCCGTCTTCAGCTCCCGAGGGATTCTCCCACCCTCCTCCTCCGCAGACTCCTCAACCCACCTTCTGCCAGGAAATCTTGCCCCCCACTCATGGCAGAACCAGCTTCGAGAGAGGGAGGCTTCATGGCTCTTGCACCCCGAGGGGAGTCTGGACCCACCTTCCACACACATGCAGTCATCGAAGCACTTGTTGTTGAGGCCACGATTGTGGGGCGTGCACAGATGCTCCCGCAGGTCGCAGCAGGTCCCTGCCAACACAGCAAGCATGCACGCGTGGTCAGCCAAGCTGAGCGGCCCCTCCCTGCCGCCCAGTCCCACTGGACAGGAGATCCATCATCACTATGGCAGGCCGTGCCCTGGCAGGGTGGGCCATCTGGTGTGTGAGCTCCCAGCCAGAACCTGTCCGGCTATGGATATCATGGCCGAGGCCCCAGCTGCCCCAGATGGGCAAGTGATTGATTATGGGAAGAGAGAAGGTGGTGTGGGGTCACCTCCTGGGGAGAGCGGGTGGGACAGCTGGGGGCTGCCAGGTGTGGAGTCAGCTGGGAGCTGGGAGGGGCCTCAGGGATCATTGACACCAATGTCCTCTTTTGACAGATGGGGAAACTGAAGCCCCCGGCAGCTGCAGGGCTGTCCCAGGCAGGCCCAAAGCGCAGCCTCGCCCGCCACAGAGCCAGCTCTCAGAGTGACTGTGCAGTTGGCCCAAACTCCAGCCTTTTCTTTGTGCTTAGGGTGAAAACAATGGTTTGGAAAGAAAACAGCCTGTCAGGGAGCTGGTGGTCTGGCTTATACAATGCCAAACTGCCGGTTTGGTTGCTGGTCTATAGAATGTTCTGGCAACTGATTTGACAATAGTGGCCCCAAGGAGGGGTCCTCAGGACATACTTGCTATTCAGTGGCAAGGAGAGCAGTTAGCTGATGGCGTCCAGCTGTTAGCACCTTCAGGGGCCTCCCCCACCCATGTCATGCTGTTCCCAAGCGGCCCCAGCCAATGACTAGCACAGCAGTGGTACCAGGGTCTGGCCATTTCTCCAACAGGCAATCTTTGCTTCAGAGCTCCCACTGCATCGGCAGGGACGTCACATCGCAGTGTGAAGGCTTCTCTGTCCAATCCTGCTTTTTACATTTCTCAGGCATCGCCCTCTCTCACTGCCGAAATAAACCTCTTGCACTAACTCTTCCTCAGAGTCTGCTTCCCAGAGGGCCTTCCTGACCCAACAAGGGCCAGCAGTTTAAGGCATTGGTCAAAACATCAGGCCCCTTGTTTTTAGACTGTCTTGAAAGGGACAGCTGTTGAACAGGTGAGGATGTCATCAAAAGCATTCCCAGAAAGCCCAGCAGTGTCACGATGGGACAAGGACAGCATTAAGCCCTGCCAGGTGTTAGGAGGAAGAGGTCAAGAGAGGGTCATCCTGATTCAAGGCAGTGTAGGGCCCTGGTTAAGGGGCTTTGGAACCAAGGTCAAGAGTTCAGATCCCCATACCGGCCAGCGGTGAAAGAAAGAGAGAAGAGAGAAAGAAAGAAGCTTTGGAACCAGCTGACCCAGGTTGGAGCCACTTCCTAGCTGTGTGTGACCTTGGGCAAGACACTTAGCCTCTATGGGACTCAGTTGCCTTGCCTGAAAACTGAGGATGATAGTGTCTTGTTGTCTGGGTTGTCATAACTACTGTTTTAAAAGAATTAATGTATGACAGTAAATCCGTAAATGGTCATGGACCCCCAGGCCCTGCTCAGTGCCTGGGAGCTCCCCACCCCACCACCGAGTTTCCCCCCAGCTCCCAGCCTGCTGCTTTGAACATGGATGTGGTTGGTACCTGGCATGCAGTCTTGGTGATGGTCACACGGCTCCCCTTCAGCTGGGGATGTTTCATTACCATCACTGGAGAGTTTACCCCGGTGTTTCTCTGGGGACAAGAAGATCTGTCGTCAGAAGCTGATGCCCAGCAGAGCAGAGAGATTAAGCACAAAGACTCGGGTGTCAGAGTGCCCATACCACCACTCCCACTGTGACTTGGACAAGACACTATACCTCGTTATGCCTTGTTTCTCTTCTCTAAAACGGGTCAACAGTAGTACAGACCTAACAGATTTTCTTTCGCAGGTTAAAATGAATCAATGCATGGAAAGTGTTTGGCATGTAACAAGCACTTGAGAGCATTTTCCATTTTGAGTTTCACTTCCAGTTTAGACTTGATGCACCCCCCCACCCCCACCCCCGCCTTTGCACATCTATAGGTCAGACTGGGCTCGCTGGGGCCCCCACCCTCCAGCAGATGCTGGGGTCAGGGAGGGGGCCCAGGCATGGGGGCGATGGGGCAGATACCTTTCTTCTTTGCAGAGGGCCAGACTTCAGGTTTTAAGTCCTCATAATCGGTCCAGTCGAACAAGGCCATATCCAGCGTGGGCATCACCTCCCCGTCAGGTCTGGGCTGTGCCAGCAGAAGGGGGGAGAGGGGGGAACCTGGGGCTTTCCAACTGATGGAAGCAAGAATATGGAGTCCCAAGGCCAGAAAGCAAAGGAGGGACTCCTCAGAGGCCACCTTGTCCTCTGCCAGGCAGCCTGGCATCCCAGCCTGAGGACATCGAGACGGCTCTAGCAGCCGCAGGGCAGCTTTCTCACCGTGCAGCCACCAGCCCAGTGGGACCATGCCTTGAGGCAGCCATGCAGGCAGTGAGTTACCTATCAGGGCCTCTGAGGAGGGGCGGAGACCCCCTTCCGGGCTGGGAAGGCAGTCTTGCTTGCTCAGGGTTGCCCATGAGGAGGGATGGGAAGTAGCCCAGCCGCTCACTTCCCTGTGCCTTCCTCTCCCCTGCAGAGTTACCAGCTCTTTGCGGCACCATTGAGGCCACAGCCTGGGCTCAGTCCCACTCACAGTCCGGCCAGTGGCCCGGAGAGTGCCGAGGGCTAGAGACCACGGCTGAATCTGCACACGGTCACCTGTGCACACTAGGATGTGGCAGTAACTGCACCTTCTAGGGCTGGGTCATCAACGGGCAGGCTTTGGTGGCCTTTGGCTATATGGATAACCATGGACTCCTGGGAGGCAGTCCACAGCTTTCCTCAGAATCTCAAGGGTGCAAGACCCAGAAAGAGGATAAGAAAGATCTACTGCTAAAAATTCTTATTTCTTTTGTCTGTATTATTTATTATACATATACAAAATGTACCATATATTATATATATTATTGATCCTTTTAAATGATTTTATTTTGAAAACATTTCAAAGCCACAGAAGAGGTGCAGGAATGATGTGGTTGAGTCCTACGCCCACCTCTAGAGTTGCTGGTGGGGAGCATTTTTGCCACATTTGCTGACCTGCTGTCTCCTCATGTAGCTTTTTAAAAAATCTGAAACAGATGGTTCAACGTGCTAACTAATTCTTGTTAATTCTGGGTCCTGGGGACATGGTTTTAAAACTTACTATGATTATTTTCTGTACTTTTTTGTACATAAAGTTCTTCCCCAAGGGCTTTGCTGCCCTCCATGCAGAGACGGGCGTGCTGAGCTGGCTGGCACTTGCTCCCTTGGCTGTCCCCAGGGTGAGCCCAGGACCACTTCCTCCTGGACAGTGCAGCCCTTTCTCAGGATGGAGTGCCCACTTGGGCTGCAGCTGATGGCCGTCAAGAGACCGGGTTTCAATTGAGGCCCAGTGGCCTCCAGCAACTCCCTTCTGCCTTGGTACCTCAGCTTCCCTAAATGTACTAAGAGGGGTTTGCACGACATGGTCTCAAGGACCCTTCCAGCTCCAAGGCTGTTTTGGGGCTCCTTACCTGGGATTGTAGGGAGGTGACAGGCAGGATTAGGGATTCTTCTGTGGCAGGTGCAGCTTCAAAGGTGGTTAGGAAGAGCATGGTAGGGGCCAGGCTGGTGGAGGATTCCTCCATTGCAGCATCCAGCGCCTGGTCTTCAGATGGTTCTGTCTTCTTCATCAGGGAGCTGGGACCTCGGACAAAGGCTCGGCCTGAGACACAGAGTGGAAGCACAGGGGCTTAATCTGCTTGGCACACCTCATGTCGGCCTATAGTAGAACCCACATTTTTGGCTGCAAATCAGGGGATAGCCGGGACTATGTGACAGTCCCTTGGTTCAGCCAACATCCTTGCTGCCCACTCTCCTGGGGAGGTGAAAACTCAGGGGTGGGGAGATGTCTTGGATGAACCCACGGTGTTGCTGGGGAGAAGGTCCAAGGATTCTTACTGTAGAACAGCCAAGTCCAAGTCCAGGTTGGTGGGCTACAGCCAGGGATGAAGGGTAACAAATGGGAACTAGTAGGATTAACCATGGAAGGCTTCCTGGAGAAGTTTGAATAAGGAGCAACGTGATGAGGCTGAGAGACACTGCAGGGGAAAGAGGCCTTTGAGAAAGCCGGGAGGTGAGAGCTCATCACAGACAAGAGCGCTCCTGGGTGGTAATAAGCAGCCACCACCTTGTCCCAGATGAGCTGCTTTACAAGCTTTATTTCATCTAACCATTGCAGCTCTGGGAAGTGGGTGCTCCTTCAGCCTCATCTTCAGCGGGGGGAAACTACAGCACAGAGAAGGTAGGTGACTTGCCCAAGGACACACAGCTCGTGAGCAGCAGAGTCTGGATTTAAACCCAGGTTTTTTGAGTGCAAAGCCAATGCTTTAGCCACTGATGCTGGCTTCTAGGACATATGGGCATGGGGTAGTAGGAGTGCGAGTGGGAGAGCATGCAGGGTCAGGAGGGGATCATGAATAAAGGGACTTGGAGAGAAGGTGGAAAGCGTGGGCTCATCCTTGCCTATTTTTCTCAGGCAAGATCTGGCTGTAAGGTCAGTTGTGGTCACGCCACCCTGCAGAAAGGGAGCTTTGGGACCATTGACTCCACCCTATTCATTTTGCGGACAAGGAAACTGAGGCCCAGTTAGCCCTAGGTTTTGCAGGTGGTCGTGAGCAGAGCTGGGCCTAGCCTGCAGAACTCCTCTGTCAGCCCCTCTTGCCCACCGTTCCAGCTCTCCTAGGAGGGCCCCGCTGCTCTGCTGGAGCTGGAGCTGGGATGAGTCCATATCCCACATGTGTCCTCTAGCTTGTCCCCAATGGGGCCAGCACACCCCTCCCCAGCCTGACATAGACAACCTCCAGGAGTGGGAGGCTGA